CTATATGTAGTTTATGTTAATTAGGATAAGCTGTGTGGAATGTATAAATACCTGTGTTGTCCTACAGTAAATGGCTCCTACTCCTGCTGTATCAACGTACACAAGTTGTTCGTCACCCCCCGGTTATTTTGCTGCAGCCGGACTGTGGCAGAAGGCAAACAAATATATGAAAAAATGTTCAACACCGTTAGCAATTCAGGAAATCATATCAAAACTACACTGCAGTTTCATCTTACTCCAGATAGAAAGACAGCCATCAAGAATACAAACAAGAAATGTTGGAGAAGATGTAAAGAAAAAGAAGCGCTTTCACACTGGGAGATTGTAAATTAGTACAACCACTATGAAAATCAGTATGGAGGTTCCTCAAAAGTCTAGGAATGGAACATAGGCATACCTATGTTTATAGCAACACAATTTGCAATAGCAAAACTATGGAACCAGCCTAGCTATTCATCAATGACTGAATGGATAAAGAAAGTATGGTCCATATACACAATGGAGGGTTTTTTTCACTTTTTAAAATTTGTTCTTCTTAAATATACATGACAGGAGAGTGTATTTTGACATATTATACGTAGGTGGAGCATAACTTATTCTAATTAGGATCCCATTCTTTGGTTGTACATGATGTGGAGTTTTACTGATAGTGTAATTCATATATGAACATAGGAAACTTATGTCCAATTCACTCTACTATTTTTCCTATTCCTATCCCCCCTCTCTTCCCTTTATTCCCCTTTGTCTAATCTACCGAACTTCTATTCTTCCCTCCCCACATTCTTGTTGTAAGATTAGCATCCGAATATTAGAAAGAACATTTGACTTTTTTGGGGGGGACTGTCTTATTTCTGTTAACATGACAGTCTGACAGTCTCCAGGTCTATCCATCTAGCTGAAAATGGCATAATTTCATTGCATTTTAAGGCTGAGTAATATTCTATATATATATATGTATGTATATATATGTGTGTATATATATGTGTGTGTGTGTGTGTGTGTGTGTATATATATATATATATACTGGCTCCATTCCTTGAGGCTCAAGGTGAGGCAAAGTATCATATATATATATGGAATATATATATGGAATGTATATGGAATAATAATATATATATTGGAATATATATATGGAATTTTACATTACTCAGCCTTAAATAATGTCACATTTTCTTTATCCATTCATCAGTTGAAGGGCACTTAGGTCAGTTCCATAGCTTAGCTATTGTGAATTAAGCTGCTATGAACATTAATGTGGCTGTGTCACTGTAGTAGGCTAAGTCCTTTGGGTACATACTGAGAAATGGGATAACTGAGTCAAATGATGGTTCCATTCCACATTTTCTGAAGAATCCCTACACTGTTTTCCAGAACAGGTGTACCAATTTGCAGTCCCACCATCAATGTATATGAGTGTACCTTTTTCCCCACATTCTTACCAACATTTATTGTTACTTGTACTCTTGATAACTGCCATTCTGATTAAAATGAAATTAAATCTCAGTGTAGTTTTAATTTTCATTTCTCTAACTGCTAGAGATGTTGAACATTTTTTCATATATTTTTTGGCCATTTGTATTTCTTCTGTGAAGTGCCTGTTCAGTTCCTTTGCCCATTCTATTGATTGGGTTATTTGATTTTTTGGTGTTAAGTTTCTTGAGTTCTTTATATATCTTGGAGATTAATGCTTTATCTAGGGTGCAGGTGGCAAAGATTTTGTCCCATCCTTAAGCTCTTTTTTCACATTCTTTATTAATTCCTTTGTTATGAAGAAGCTTTTTCATTTGATACCATCCCATTTGTTGATTCTTGATTTTACTTCTTGCCCTTTAGGAGTCTTGTTGAGGAATTCAGTTCCTAACCTGATGGAAATTTTGGCCTACATTTTCTTCTCGTAGGCACAGGATCTCTGGTCTAATGCCTACAACCTTGATCCACTTTGAGTTGAATTTTGTGCAGAGTGAGATAAGGGTTCAATTTCATTCTGCTACATGTGGATTTCCAGTTTTCCCAGCATAATTTGTTGATGAAGCTATCTTTTTCTCCAATATATGTTTACAGGAACTTTGTCTAGTACAAGATAACTGTAATTTTATGGGTTTTCTCTGTGTCTTCTATTCTGTTCCATTGGTCTTCATTTCTGTTTGGTACCAATGCCATGCTGCTTTTTCTATAGCTCTCTGGTATAATTTAAGGTCTGGTACGCAATGGAGTTCAGCCATAAATAAGAATGAAATTATGTCATTTGCAGGAAAATGATGGAACTTGGGAACATTATGTTAAGTGAAATAAGCCAAACTCAGAAAGTCTCTCAAATCTGGAAGCTAAAGAGAAAAAAGGAAAAGACAGCCTAGGAGGGATCTCATGAATATTGAAGGGAGATCAGTAGACTAGAAGGAAGGGACAAAGTAAAGGGAGGAGGGGCAAGAAAGTAGAAATACCAAGGAGTGATACCAGCCAAATTATATGGTTACATTGTGTACATGTATGAATATTATGTACCCAAAGTTATGTACAACTGTATGCATAAAAATGGATAAAAATTTATTTTCCACTGTAATATGTGATTTATTTGCTCAAGTTATGGATGAATATTGATTATTAACAAAATCCTCCATAAAGATGGTTTCTGTGCTAGGAAAACAAAAGATGAAAAGCAGCACAGATTTCCATGAAGCAGCACCCACTGGCTGCGCCTTCTTACTACCTTACTACCCACTCCTTCTCTGGTGAGGAGAAACCTATGGGAAGCAGCCTCATTTCAAAGGGAACCTTTGGCTTTTTCGTGCCCCTCAAGTGCTAGGCATTAAACTCAGAGCCTGGTGCATGCCAGACAAACACTCTACACTGAGCAATGTCCCAAGCCTAACAATTTTATCGTCTTAGTAAAGACCAAAATAGAAAAAATAACCACTCGCCTTTTTGTTTTTTAAATTCGAAAATCCAGGTAGAGAAAAACTCACAAATATTATACTCTAACAGTAACTAGCAATTCAGACTTTCTCCAGAATATCCTGGTGAAAATACCTTACTATTTTTCCCTAGTTCTATGACAAGACAATATAGTTTAACTGTCATTCTTTCTCCTACCACTTCCTTAATTATGTGACTTTGAGCAAGTTACTTAGCCATTCTGTCCACCAAGCTCCTCATCTGTAAAATGAGAATAATTAAACCTATCTCAAAGGCTCACATGAGGATTAATTACTCATGCAGATATAAAGGACATATAATACCAGGTATTAACCATAATGAACACCACTAAACAATTGTGATTCTAATGCTATTTTTACTGCACCTGTGATCCCCTTCTAACAGCTTTTATGAGGAAGGTTATATATCCACACTGTGATTGCTTCCAGAGATTTTCTCTTGACTAATACGTACATGTGGTAACAGCAGAGGCTTTGGTCCTCCCCAAAGTCATGATGAGATAACCACTTTTTTCACTTTCAAAGTGAAGGTCATCCTTCCATCCGTTGCCTTCACAATACTGTCACCATAACTGTCTCAAGTTGGCCTTCATTCTCTCACCCACAGATGTCCTAAAACTCTGTCAATCTATGAAGACGTCAATTAGACTCAGGACATTTTGATGACAGAATTGCAATGACTTTGGCTGATTCCTAATCTGAGACGCTGGGGCCTCTCAGGCTTGTGAGCAGTATCCATGTTCCCTTCTTTAGAGTAATATTATGTTCAGCATTTCCACTTCTAATCATGTTTTAGAATTTTTTTAACTTCTATATAAAATCACATACAAAAGCCAGCCTCATTAAATGTAGAGTTGCCTATGAATCAAGAGAACTGACCCGTTAATTAACCATCCCCTGTGTGATCTCAGACACTCATAAATTTGCAAGCCGTTCCTGAAAATTATAGGTCTGGCCACTCGATTAATCCTTTGGTTCTTTATCCTGGACTGACTAGCATGGCTTGATTTACCCATATCTAAATACAAAAAAAAAAAAAAATTAAAGTATTGTTCAGCAAAGGAAAAGAATAAAATCTTCAGATTTTATTCAGGCAAGCAAGGAGTAAACAGGGTACCATACCCACTCTTCCTCTAGTCGTCCCTTGCCTGTGCCTCCATGTCCTGAATTTCCAAAATAAATATCTTCATGAATATATACCCATGTCATGCTCTTTAATTTGGCTTCTTCCTAACTAGCAATTATCATAAATATCTACTATTAGAACCTAACTGATTAGTAAATTTAATCCCTTCATTTTAAGGGCAAATAAAATAGGACAAATTGATTGTGACTTACCCCAAATCACCCATAATTTCCTTATCATGAGATAAGTGGAGGAAATATTTTTCTGCTAGTTTTTCAATGAGAATGAAGTGACTTCCAGATATCCCAGAAAATAACAGGGACAGAACCAGAATTCCTGGCTCCTTTATGACTATCATAAGATAAATATATGTAAGCATTACAAGTTATTTTAAAATGCCAGCCCCTCAAAGGTAGAATATCTTTGCTTGCTTTATTCACTAAAGTATCCCAAGTGCTAAGAAAATGGCCTGGTACAGAGCAGGCCTTTATCAAATGTTTGCTGTGTGAATGCATGTCATGAAAACATCACTATCAATTTATGTTCTAATTGTAACTACCACCTTGGGTTCTACACTCATAAGAAAGGACACTGTTCACTATAAATCTCTCCTATCCAGTTACTAATAAAGTTGCATAAGATCCACATAAATGTTTATATTCTTATTGAAGAGGTGATGGAGAGTCAAGTTACATTTTTCCCAAAACATGTAGCTCATACGTATTCAAGTAAGAAAAACAAAAGAATTACAAATGGACACTAGCACTGGTGTTGGTTTGTGTTGCTGCTGCTTTTAGTTTCACTTTTATAACAATAAATAATGACATCCATCATTATCTTATCCTGACAAAACAAACAATAACAAAACCAAGCAACTAAGACCAAGGATTTAAGAATCAGCAAAGTAAATCAGGTAACAGTTTAATTTTGTCTTTGCTCACTTTTTGTTAATATTTGAAGATCTTCAACAGATGGTGGTCCATTGTTTTTCTCATAGGGAATGACTGTTGTCAAATACTGCCAAGTCAAAAAAGAAAAAAAAAAGCATCATAAATCTGAATTAACTTGCCTGCAAAAAAAAAAAAAAAATGACACAGTTAACATCTATTTTGCAACACAAAACAAAACATAAGCTCAACACACACATTATCTTTCAGCTGGAGCTCATGTATTTGCCTACCTCTGCTTCCTACAAGTCCATGTTAACAAAAATAACCAGTTTTTTGCATTTCAGTTATTGAAAATTTCACAGAACTAGGTCTGAGGATGATTCACTCAGTTTGTTAATATTTAAAATGAAGTATTATCTAACATTCTTCCTGCATGTTTTTCAACACATTTTAAAATAGTAAAGGAAAACATAGTTTTAACAACTCTGCACAGAAAAATAATTTTCAACAGCTAAATAATTCTGTTTCAGATCATTCTTATTCTTGCTGAACAAAATAGTTAACATGAATAACATGTCAACTTAAAAAACAACTAGCTTCTTCCTTCCAGAATCTACCAAAGACACACCCACAGAATTTCTGAAGCGTATTATTACTAAATTATTGTGTAAGTAATTATAAATATTTTTAGACATTAAAGGTGATGAGAAAAGCAAAAGGAGAGACTGGTCTAAGCGGGGAAATGAATAATAAAAATTAATGTCTGAAATTGAGACAAAGTGCTTAGTTCACTACCTGAAAAATTTACAAGTATCAAGTTATATTCTAAAACTATATCCACTGAGAGCATAATCTGAATATGACTGTCCAGATTCTCCTATTATGACCACCCCACCACATGTATATATGGTTCAGTGCCATTTGCATAAGCTAATGTAGAAAGCTAGAGGTGTATACTTGGAATCTCTTCAGCCCCATCCATTAGTTAGCCTCATGCCCTAAATCTCAGCTCTACTCCTAATCCTTACTGAATGATAAAACTGAAAAATAAGATCAAAAATTCGATTAACAATGACTAGACCCTGAGGTCCAGAAACGTAGTAAAAATGAATTGTTTAGTCATTAAGAAACTTAGTATTCCACATTTCCTGAACAGACTTCTCCAAGGTGAGGCCCACCTAAATAAGCAAATATGTGTCTTTGTAAAGAACACACAAAAGGCCAGAAATTCGCCTTCCTAGGGCTTCACTGGCAATACATGTGTCAAGCATCTTGGAGAAGCCTGGGGAACCTGTGCCTCGGTTGTCGGCTGGCTATGTTTCCAGGCCTCTTGCCCCACTCCCATGTATCGGGTTGGTCTGGAAGCTATTTCTCCATTTTGTAAGCTTCAGGAAGTGGGAAGCATCAGAATAAAAATAAAAATCCAACTGTCCCTTCTCTTTATGAGCTGCAAATGTCCGTGTGAACCTGCCCTCTTTAATATGGATTAGCTTGCATCTTGAGTAACCCGCAGGAACCTTTGGTGAAAACTCTAGGCAATTTGATTCTTTGAAGAAATTGCCTACAAGCCACATTCTGCCTACCTTCTTAACCTTTGCTCAAGAGCTAATTTTAAAAAGTTCTTTTGAAGTGAAAATTTCAAATGGTAAAAGATAATTTTAAGCACACTCATTAATATAAACTATTTCTCATGTTTGTGATGGTCCTTTCAATCAAATATAATGTGAATAAAAAGCAAATTGCTACACATTTGACTGTATAGTCATACAATGTGTAATTCTGTATAAATAATGTCGAATGCCTCACGACCAACAAGTGAATTGGCTGACTATATAACACCTTAAAAACACATACATTTTATTTAAGAGGTAAAATATGCTTTCTACACTTCCCCCCGCCCTAAAACTCTAGCCTCAAAGATACCAACATCTGGCTCATTTCCCCACCAAAATAAGATCTTGTTTCTTAAATATTTTGAATTAGTGCAGCATATTCTAGTTTTGTTATATTCAGAGTCAGGGTTTTCTACACATGCAATTCATTATGTCAATACATTAATATCTATTTGTTTAGAGACAGAAGTGAGAAATGGAGCTCTGATGCATGTTTTCTGAATGCACTTGGTCTATTTTTAATTTGGAAAGTGCTTTTTCCCTCAAGGGAAATTCTGTTCATTATCAAGAATGTACATATAATGAACTTTCATTTCTCTCTTTTAAGCAATGGTCTTAGTAAATTAGTAAAACTGCCAGCTTTCATGATCTTCACTTACACAAAAAAATGAAAAAGCAGAGAATGAGGAAAATAAGGATAACCAAGCACCTGTTTCTCTCCACCTGAATTTCCAAAGGTGTGGCGGAAGCCATTCTGAATGACATTTGAGATCCCTTCCATGCTGAAGCGCTAAAGGCGGCAATATAAGGCCAGGAAGAAAAGGACAGAGAAAGAAGTTCAGAGACTATTAGTAATGTACCATGATGATTTATGTGACCAAGAGGCAAGCAGTTAGAAAATGCCACTACTCATTCAGATAAAGCAGACAAAATCATGCTGTCTTTAAAACGTTTTTGCTTCCATTGCTTTGTAGGTCCAACCCAGAAGCAACTGTTTTTATGCTACTATATTATGAAGATTTTTCCTGAAATAGCCAATAAATACATTTGTCCAATGCAAACATTGTCATATTTGCTTGACACACAATTTGCCATGTAATTTGAAGATACCTTTTGATATTGTTTACCTACATTTTATCAAAAGTCTAAAAACTTAATATTAAGAGTATGCATATTTTCAGCTTAAGTTTGTATATTTCCACCATCAGTTTGGAGAACACTAACCTAACATTTGGCAAATGAAAATGCTGCTACTTTGGAAAGTTGATTATTGCTTCCCACTCACTCTGTAGGCACCTGTCATTGCCTTCATGAAGAAAATGTGAATTGGAAGATGGCACATGCTTCCTGGGGAGCAGAGTGGATCCATTTGCTAGCTGGGCCCCAAAAAATTTCTGCGGAGACTTTCCACTCCGTTTCTAGGAAACAGTTCTAGTTTCTTTCTCCCAGCAACTGCCAAGACTTCCTAGAATTCACTGGACTGAAAAGGGAATATTTTTTTTCCTAAACTACTTATCTTGATTTGTAACCAGTCTACAATGTCAAAAGGCTCAGTGAAAAGAGTCCAGTGGCACCTCAATGGCAGCTGAGTCAAAGACCTTAGATGGATTCTTGCAGCATGACTAACGGAGGGGAAAGGCACCATGAAAGGAAGCTGTGGCCTGATTCACCCATGACTCCTTTCCCTGGAATTTTATAAGGGGAAGTCGAACCAGTAAACACATTTAAGGAGTCAACATAAAGACTATTTCACCAAGCCCCAAGGAGTAGAAGGAAACCAAGGTAGTCTCTCTATCCTCAACAAATATATAGTTCCAGGGGTTTTCCAAGTGTGGTCCAGGGACATCCCACGCAGCCCCTGAAATTCTCTAAAGAGTTCATGAACTCAAAATTATTTTCTTAATACTACCAAAATAAAACTGATCTTTATCACTCTTTATCTCTCATGATTTAGAGTGAAATATTCCAAATGACAGATTGAATGCAGAAGCAGATTTAGAATCTAGTTGCCTTTAATCAAGCCAGACATTAATAAGATTGACAAAAATATACAGGAATGACATTTTTCTCACTATTTTTTTAAATAGTAATCTTAATTAAAATATGCTATTTATATAATAATTTATTGTTGGTATCCTTAACTAATATTTTTAAAAATTTTTAATTATAATTTCTAATACAGTAAGTATTGAAAAATATAACACATATAAGCTGAGCTTTCTGGGGTCCTCAATAAATTTTAAGAGTTTAAATAAGTCCTAACAGCAAAAAGCTAATAAATGCCAAAAGACTGAGTGCTTGCTGTACACCTCTGTGTCATTCACATGACTCAGTGGTATTGCTGGAAATCTGTGAGCCACACTTGCCCAACTTGTAAGAGCTCATATACTTCATTTCTCTTCCTTCACCATCCTTCTCCCTACCCAGTCCTTCCCAGGTCTGAATCTGCGCACCAGTTTTGTTTTAGCAAGAATCAAATGTCTGGTCAAGATACTTTGACCACTCTTCACTTTTGATGGAAAGAGCTAGTTTTACACAAAACAAAACAAAAATATAGATAACTATTTTTGTAGATTTTCCAAATGCTATTATATAATTTGTTCACACTTTTTAAAACAAATTATCCAAAGAATTAACATCATAGTCTCTCTAGTCTGCTATAAAAATTTAGGAAACTATTTTCAAATAAACAAGTCAGGGGCTGGGGATGTGGCTCAAGCGGTAGTGCGCTCGCCTGGCATGCATGCGGCCCAGGTTCTATCCCCAGCACCACATACAAACAAAGATGTTGTGTCCACCGATAACTAAAAAATAATAAATATTAAAAAAATTCTCACTCTCTCTTTAAAAAAAATAAAATAAAAAAAATAAACAAGTCAGTACTTTTTTTAAAAAATGCTTTCATCAAATATATTTCCTTTGAAAAGCAACAAACAGAAAAATACTTAATTTTAGTCTATATTACCTGGTTCCAATATTTATGGGCATGTTAAAAGCTATACACAAATTCAGACAATCTCCACCAAAGTGAAAAATTTTAGAATTCACATTAAGAAACTAAGGTACACTTTATATTTGGACAGCACACTGCAAAAATGGTAATTTACTTTACCATTCAGACACCTAACTGTTTAAATTCATAAGACGCATATGTGATTTAGGTTTTCCTCATTAAATACTCAATTGCGGACACTGTTGAACCATTTCAACTACTAGAAACCCGGCTACTTATGAAAGGTGTCTTTCATGCAACGAGAACTTGAGGCTGAGTAGAAATAAGTGGAAATATATTTATGGGAGACCATGGCAACCTTGAAAAATACAAAACTACCAACTGATGCTGGTGAAGAAAGTGCAAGGCACGGCCTCTCAGCAGCTCCACCGATGGTGCCAAGTCAGCAGCTGCAGCCAACCAGGCCCATGGGCTCCTGACCTGTCACCAGCCACCAGATGAATCAGGGCAGCCAGCAAAGTTCAACTGCTTCTTGTTCCACTGGGAGAATTACAGAACAAGAAAATTAGAAGTTTCTGAGGGGGGTGAGGAGGACAACTAACAGATATGGCTGGAAACATTCCAATGCTCCAGTTGCCATGAGTTCCTGACTCCCCAGAAACCATGCAGTAACAATTTTCTCCCTTTACTGCATTCTAAAATTCTCTCTCTCTACTGGCTCTTTCCCAATGGCAACTTTAAATTCTCAAATCCTCAACCTACTTCCTCTCCCCAGAGTTTCCTGAAACAGCTCTTCCCATTGTCATTTCTTTGACACTCAAGTCCACTTGAGACCTCTCTAAGACATCAGGAATGCCCGCTCCCTGACCTTCTTTCTCCCTGGATGCTCAATAACATACTCTCCCGGATTTCTCCCTGCCCTGGCCCTCTAGCTGCTGCTTCTCAGGGATGCTTTTCTTATTACTCATATCTTACACGTCAGAGTTCCCCAGGATTCTTCCCTATTTTTTTCTCTCGTACACACTAACATTCAATAGTTTCAGTGTGCCTCCATTAATCCACAGCTCCATTTTCCTAAGACTAGCAAAGTGCTTAGAACAGGACTGGTATGTGGTAAGGGCTCAGTAAATATTCACAATCTTTACTGTCCTTCCCCCTGAGCTTTTGATTTGCATGTTCGACATCCAATTGGACATCTGTACCTATTATATGTTAAATTTGTATTTACTAAATGTTTAATGGCCCACTGGATATGTCTATATTCCTGTATTTCTAAAATTTATGTCCAAAACTGAATTCATCCTCCTCTCCCATAACAAAAAAGAACCTGTTTGTCCTTCAGCATCCTATACCTCTCTTACTCATTTACTCATTCTTTCAATATACTGAGTGAAATACTATTCCAGGTAATAGGGATGCAAAGTGAACATACCAGCTAAGGCCCCGCTGACCTAATATTCCTATGTATTGGAGGTAAAGAAAGTAAAACAAATAAATGAACTAGATGACTGCAAATAACACGTGCCCTGGCAATACCTCAAAGAGTGCAATTAAAAACTGGATGAATACTTTATACCAGGAAGTCTTACTTAATAAGATTGACAAAAATGTACAGCAATGACATTTTTGGAAGGAAGTTAGAGAAAAGCTCTCTGAGGAGGTGACACCATCCCAGATGAGACACAGCAAACAATGGACAAAGGAGATCCTCTCGGATAACCAAAAGCAGCCAAACTGGCCTGCCACAGAGCTCACTCTGCTGCCTGTCCACAGGAGTCTTGCTGCTCTTATCCAGCAGGCTATAAAGGTAACTACTCAGTGAGTCCATGCCATGCTTCTGCCAATGGGTTTCTACTGCACAACCCTCTCCTCTCCCCTGCTTTGTTTGCAGGGTGTGCTGGAATGGACAGCTTAACCTTTGGATCACAGGGGCTTTACCCAGAGCTGATGGAAAGGAGGACAACTCCCAAAGATACTGGACTTGAGGCTAAATGCAATCACTGTTGAGCAAACCTACGCACCTTCCTGGGAGAAGGGGGCCAGATACTTCAGATCTCTCTGTGAGATATCCAGCACTGTCGACACCATGTTCTCCCATGTTTTACCTATGCTTACCCAAGTCAATGGTTAATCACGTCCCTAATTTCCCCTTCCCCTGGTGTCCCAACCAACCATTCAAACTCATCATTACCTTGGAAAATCTACCATTTTTCCATCCCTACTGTCAATTCTTTGGTCAATTCTTACCTGAATGATCACAACAGTCTCGTAATCAACTCCTTATCTCTAGCTGAGTCCTTCCAACTAGTTCTCCCTGAAACTTCTTAAGTCCCACTGCCAAAAGACAGATCTCAACATGAAACTACCCTACTTAAAACCCCTTTTTTGTTTCCTCTAGTCTTTAGTAAAGGCTAATGTCTTAGAAATGCCACACAAACCATCTATATGCTGGCTTCCAGTTTTCAACTTCTATAGCATTTTCATGAGTCACCTCCTCCCTCATCTTCCAGATTTCTTCCCTACTTCTAGCTCCAGTCATTATCAATGACATGTAGTCCCCCAGATGTCCCTAACTGGCACTTCCAGGTGGCTACACACACCACTCCCTATGTTCTCTTTCTGCGTGTCCCCTCCTTGTTACACCTGTTCTTGAGATTCAACTCAGCGACTCCAGACCCCTAAAACAAGTGATGACAGAGTGATACATGCACACCTCTGCCACAGAATAGTGCCAGATACAGAAAACACTAAAAACTAGTAGCAGTTTGGAGTACAGCAATTTTCACACTACACTTGGTTTTTCAACTTTGATACTACTGACACCTTGAACTAGAATA